ATATCGAACTAGGTGTGTGTGTGTGTGTGTGTGTGTGTGTGTGTGTGTGTGCGCGTGTGTGTGCGTGTGCGTGCATGTGTGTGGATTATTAGCTGATGTGAATGTAAACACAGAGATGGAAACTTGTGTGTTGATGTGAGGGTTGCCGCCCACTGGCCTACTTCTGGAGAGAACACTATGTTCTTAAAACACCAGTCTCACACAGACACACACAGACACACACACACACACACACACACACACTCACACACAGACACACACACACACAGCAGCGAGTCACATGTCTCTACACGCTGTGAGAGGACGGCTTGTTTTCTTCTTCTACACATGAGGAACACGGGCTGAGTAGAAGAATTAAAGCGGAAGTTCTCGCCCTCACACACACCCTTGCTGAGGCCAGGACATGGCAAGGTGTTGAATGCGACACTTCTCTCACTCTTGGTGTCTGGGGCAGACGTATTTTCCTCGCGGTGCAGAGCAGAGCGAGTGTTACTACCTCCCCCCTCTGAGATCGCATCGGACTGCACCTGAGCTCATCTCACCTTTGCACCGTTGTCAGTTACAGATTTTAACTTTCTCTGATGTTGTCTTCACAAACAAGATTAGCAGGCAGGATGGAGCATCACGTGCAAAGACAACTTTAAAAACTATGGTGAAATGTTAGATGTGACCACAGAAGCTGCACTGCCATCAGCGTTATTGGCAGCAGCAGCCCTGGATCAAAAGATTTATTGATCATTCAGTCTCCTGGCAACCAGGGCCGGAGCCAGGACCAGGTCATCAGGCCCCCTACACACACTTTAATTATTTTAAACCAAAGTTTCAGTACCGATACAAAAACCTTAAGCAATCTAAACAAACCAAAGTCGAAGCACTTGTAAATTGTAAAGTTAAATCAGAAACTATCTGATACTGTACAAACTGTACTTTTTTGATATCTTAATTTAAAATGAATAAACTTTTTTTTTTTTTTTTTACAATTGAGTTTAAGTCAAAGTCAGAAATAGCTGACTCATTAATGTTTATTTCACAGCAATATTTAAACTTTGCTAAACTAGACACCATAAGTTACTGGTCATACCAGGCTGAGTGTATTGGTGTGTTTTATTGCTTATGAATTTTAATTTGTGAGGAAGTATAAGTTTATTTCAAAAGTTATATTCCCTGCTTTAACTAACTATAAGTCAATTAAGTAAAGAAGACCCAAACTAGACGTTCAATTTCAGCTTTCAGTACTTGACAGCGTTGCAACTGTGTAGTTATATTGAACAGGTTTAAACTGTGATTGGTCAGTCCACAGTGTGTCAGCTGATATTCAATAGTGCTAACCCTTCGACCAAACCTTCTATTTTGAAATTTCCTGTAGTGGGTCAGGCCATGCTCACCAGAGGTGGTAGTACTCTATAAGTAGTAAGGGTACTTATGTGGACAAAAATCAGAAGTGCTGCTACTCATGGTACCAGCCCATTTCAGGCACTGGCTAAACCCTTGCAAAAATACAGTTCATGTGACCTCAGTAGTATTTAACTACAGCCCAGCTGAGAGTCCAGATAATCGATTTTCAGCTACGGCTCAAAGTAATTTTTCTAACTGTTTCCATTCAGGGGAACCAACAAACTACTTTTAACTGATTCCTCCTCCTCGGTTGCAAACTGGTCGTCGAGTGAGATTTTTCAACATTACTGAATTTTTCTAAACAAAAACTGCAGCCGTGAATGTCTCCTGCTTGACTGTCTGAAGCCTGTTTATCCATCATTCATCCATCACTGCTAATCACTCAACAGGACAAAGCACTGAAAAACTTGTCCTCCCACAGCAGCTACAACTCACGATGAAAGAGATGAATGACTTTTCTTTTGTTTTTCAGAGTGAGACGAGTGGTAGCAAAGAGGAAAACTAGTTGCTCAAAGTAATGCTCTGTAGCAGCTCTTCTTTAACTGAAGAGTAAAAAAATTAGCAGGTGAAGAAAAGAGCAGGTGATCATTGAAAGGAACACACCTGTGTTTGCTATAAATCATGTAAAGCATATGTTTGCTTTTCATTGTTAATTAGATGTTGTAGAGTTTTAGGTTCATGGCTATTTCTCCTCAAGGTCCCGACATCTATTGATTTCCATTCGTTTTTTGTGGTCTGAAAGTTTATTACCAGTCTCTTGAACTAGAGCTGAAATGATTAGTCACTTAATCAATTTGTTGATTTGTTGAAATACCAGAAAAATGCAGTTTTCCAAGATTCTTGTGATACTATACTATCTCAGGGTTTCGACTAACCTTGCAAGGCAGCTGGACTCGCAAGATCCTGAGATCACACAAGAATCCATCTTGCCAGGCTTTAGTCTACACACTTGCGCCCAACCACAGTGGTTCGGACCAATCAGCATCCTTTGAAGAACTACTGACAGCTATGGCTGCTAAAAAGGTTAGCTAGAGGTTCTTCAAGAAGAACATAGAACTAAAGGTTTTTCTCGATGGAAAATATCTTGTTTCTTTTCCTGCCTGACTTTAGTAAGAGTTTGACAGTGTTACATGGTTATTGATCTGACTGGTTGAAGTTTGCTTGTGTTAGACAGTGATAGACAGATGATTCATCCAATCATTGTCATCCTTCATACCCGGTATTTCTTGTGCGGTTCCTCAACAATCCATCCTTGACATTGTTATTTTCTCCCTACAAATTTGCTTTTACTGCTATGCAGATGACACTCTGCTTTATCTGCACCTAAAACCAAATAACCAGGCTAATTGTAAGACTCTAATGGACTTTTCTAAGAATGTTTGGTAACTTTCTCTAGCTGAAGGAGACCAAGTCAGAGTAAAGTAATTGTTTGCCCCAACGGCAAACAAACAAAACATACGTAAATAAATATAAAACAGACAAACGCAGCTGAGGCTGAAATGAAAACGTCAGTAATGTGTGGAATTGTGTATAATTTTGTGTTACCTGCTCTTGCCGGGCTGCTGTGGAGGCAGTTTGGAGAGACGACGCTCGTGTGTACGGAGGTTGAGGCGTGGTTGCTGAGGTCCATCACCGAGGGCGCAGGCGTGGGCGGGGCTTGAGGCATGATTGGCGGCTGGCGTTGTGGAGCGTGTGGTTGGTGCTGGTTGTGGTGGTGGTGGTGGTGGGAGGGGCTAGAGGGGATGCCGTTCTCAGACAGGAACTCTTCCAGGTCCATGTACTCCAGCTGGAAGGTGTCACCATCGTAGGGCAGGGTCTTGTCCCACAGCGTGGGGCCCAGGAAGGCTGACTGGGGGACGCTGCGCTCCTCCTCCAGGTTCTTCTCCTTCTCCTGCTCCTTGTTGAAAGCTGCAGAGGAGGACAGGGAGAATAAATCAGTCAGTACAACCCAAAACATTTTTAAACACTGGGTATGGATAGTTAAATATTAGTAAGTCAGTTCTTGAGGAATGGTAGTTTTGTGCAGGTCCCTGTTTGGTTGCATCTCACACTCGACACAAATACAAAGATCCTCCAAACTATTAAAAATCTAAAAGACAATCAAGTGTGTGACCATAGTGTTTCATTTTCCTGCCACTTAAACAAAGAACTTTAAACGTGTCAACAATGATTCACACTAGAATATGCTAATAGGTGTGACCTCCGCCTTACGTGTACTGACGTGTATGTCAGATTATAATCACAACAGACAAAAGCTGTCATACATTGACTGTT